TGAAAAGAACACTTTAGTCGTCTCTCCTTAGTTTCAAGACACTCTCCCTATTGTCTCAGCCACTATCGGAATCCAAGGTGTCGACATATCGAGAGGCATGCAGTTTTGTTATCACTTGGAAAAGAAGGCCAAAATAGGACTTGGAGGAGAAGGCTAAATTGGCTAAAAAGCTGCTCATCAGAGCGGGACAGTATTTCATGCCGCCGCACCGCCTGCAACTTACAAGGCGCAGGTTTGGCCACACATGGAATACTGTTTCCATCTCTGGGCTGGGACTTCCCAGTACCAGCTCCTTCTATTTGACCGCATCTAGCACAGAGTGGGTCGAATTGTCGACAACCGAGTGCTTTCCTATCGGCTTGATTCACTGGCACTGCGAAGAGATGTGGCATCTCTTTGCGTATTTTATTGCATCTATCGCGGGGAGTGCTCTGAAGAATTATTCGGATTAATCCTAGCCGCCAAATTTCATGAACGCACTACGCGGCAAACCTCTCGATACCATTCACACCATCTGGGTGCTTGGCGTTCCACCACTGTACGTTTCACTAGAAGTTTTCTCCCGCGTACGACCTCTCTGTGGAATAGCTTACCACTGATGATTTTTCTGTACTGATACGAACAAGGAACTTTCAAGAAAAGAGCTTACTCCTTTTTAATGGACCGGCAACGCACCTGCAATTACCCTGATGTTGCGGTTATTCATGGCTGCGGTAATCACTTAACATCAGGTGAACCGTATGCTCGTTTGCCCCCTCTTCTATATAAAAAAGCGTACCGTTTTCACGTTTTTGATTCACATGACATCGTGTCGCTTCCGGGCTGGGCATCAGTACATCTTAGTGTACTTTTTGTATGAAGTGATTCATGCTTGACTGTGGGCCGGCCATGCCCCCACCGTGCGCCGTCGGGATCCGATCGGGATCCGACATACCGACACCGGGGCACGATGTCGAAATGTCGGTGGGTATTGTTTCCCGGCTCTGGCTCGAGCCGGCTCGACACGTTGTAACATTTAGCATGATTCACGTTACACCGTGTAGCGACCCAACCAGGATTTACCCGTGGCATACCGGGCGCCGGCCGCGCCAGTTATTAAGCTACACCGAACTGTTTGCGTGTATTCTTTGAATGTCGATACCTATTTTTTAGAGAACCTTTAATTCACACAATAGTAGTGCATTAAGCTGGCGAGTACGGCAATGTGTTTTTGAAATTATATATAAAGTTAAATATTTTAACATGATAAAATACGCTAGTAATATATGTCAATGGATAAAAAAACCATTATTTCAGATTATGACTATTATTTCGTTGGTTCTCAGTGGAGTAGCATTAAGACTTCTTGGTGAAAGTCATTTGGTTGAAATCAATTACAATATTTTACACCGCAAAGATGTAGTTGCGGTGTAAACATAACCACTACGCCACATCGTCATAAGTGAAATTGAAACAGGATAAAACAGGAAAACAGGAAAATAATAAGAAACTGCGGTTGCCAACCATGTGGCAACTAGTGCAAAACAACCCCTATGAATCAATGTTTGAGTGGACTTAAATAGACTGTATTGGATGGACAGATGTATGGAAAATTGTCAGTATCAAGCATCTCTCGGTATTCGTAGGATACATTCCGGAGAGTGAGCAGACACTCTTAGAAATCATTATTTAATTCTTCGCTTCCTTTCCGTATTTCCGTATGTTGTTAACAGTATCTATCTTTCCAATATATTGCAATGTGCCTTTAAGACGACGTCGCAGTACTTTTTAACGTTCTAAATTTTTAAACCTCTGTAAATCTATTAAAATGTAATTATTATACAAATAAAATTATTTTACATACAAGTGATTTTTTCAAAATTTTTCACTAAAATTTTTATTCCACATTTCTTTTTCATATTTATACATTTTCATGCAAATTTTGAGCTACGTTAAAAATTTCAAGCCTCTAACTAAACGGGAAGTGCTCGAAATTTTAGTTGCAAGATTCCACCCGAAACGACGTACAGACAAAAATAAGAAAGTGACATAATAAAAACGTGGTAAAATTGAACATACATAATGGTGACGTATGGTGATGTGTGTGAAGTAACGCGAATCATAAAAATTGGCTCGATAAAAAAATCATGATGATGAGGCTAAATCGCTATTTAAACGAGTAACTTGCAAGGATTTCAATAATGTAACCGTGTAAATGTTATATCAAATGAAAAGGCTAATTATTTTTATGAAAATAATAGAAAAATTAAACAGTTTAAGCGCTCGCGGCTGTGGCTGATATCTTCGAGGTTGGATGTACACTTTTTTTTTTTATTTTAGCGCTAATAGACAAAAAACGTATGGACTGGGCACAGGTCTCCCGCTCATTTATGAAAGGGTTTTAGGGCAAGGAATTGTCCGCCGCGCTGCCCCAATGCGTGTTGGCAAACTTCACATGTCTTCGAAATATTTTTTTCTTATTTCTCTGACATGCAGGTTTCCTCACGATGTTTTTCTTTACCGCTGAGCACGTAGTAAATCAGCACTTAAAATTGCAATTAACAATTTCATTGGTGCTGGCGGGAATCGAACCCGGTTTGCTCGCGTACTGTGAAATTTACAGCGAGCGCAAACCATCTGAGCTACCACGGCTCATTTACAGTTGGTATAAATAAACAATCACGCCTGTCACCCAGAGGGGTAGGCAGAGACTACAGATTTCCATTTGGACCTTACACCTCTCTCGCCTCCTTCACATCCATACACCTACGCATACATGCTCGTCGGTTAAGGGTACTCCTGATTTGGCCCGTTTCCAATAAATCGCCAATTTGGTCGATAAATTTTCGCCTAGGACGTCCTTTTCCGACTCTGCCATTCACTTCTGCAACATAAATATTCTTTGTCACTCTTTCCTCATTCATTCTTTCCACGTGACCAAACCACCGAAGCATTCCTTTCTTAATCCTGGTCATAATATCATCTTGCAAACCACACTCTTCTCTTATTACACAATTTCTTACCCTGTCATTCAGATTCAGCCCTAACATACTCCTTAACGACCGCATTTTTACTGCGTTTATTTTACTCTCGTGCTTCTTCTGCCACACCCAACTTTCACTACCATACGTTAAAGTAGGGACCAACACAGCATTGTGAATTGCCATACGTGCCTTTTTCGACACATTTTGACTCTTTACAATAGAGTGCAAGGCCCCATTTACTCTATTTCCCGTTTCACAGTTACAGTACAGTTGGTATATATAAAATATAAATCTTTCTGAATAGATCTGGTAGGACTTACTTTCAGTCTGGGAGTCATTCTGAGTATTTGGTATATACCCAGATTGACTCTTAGACTGAAAGTAAGCCTAACTTTTAGGTCTGAAGGGTATAGCCAGAGTTATTACAGGTTGTGAGGCCTTCCATCATGGTCCCCGAATGTGAAAGCGCATTTAGAGTTAATTGTTTGAAGTTGGTCGCTTGGGCCAATGACCCCCATGGTCACGTGTTGATGAAAATGTGCTGCAGTCACAATCAGATGGACTTTTAGTTCATTGGTCAACTAAGTTCTTTAAAAAAATGTTATACATCCAAATAAAGTGAACTGCACTGCAATAATTTTACGAGAACCAATAATTTTCCAAAAGCATAAGTCTATATAAGTAATAATCAAACTAATTAAATAATGTACTAGAGTTTTAATTTTTAAAATAGAAGTAGGTATGTAATTTGTCTTACTTCGTTCGTTATTTTTAATAAACAACAACAAAAAGGATTATTTGAAAAATATTCAGACAAGCGCTGGCTATCAGTCGTTCCGCAACAATAAGTTTCTGCTCGGAGCTTTTATATTTTGTATATTATAGTTTACGAATACTATAAGATTTTTTCGTTTATAAATTTACACGGTGGGTAAAATCTTTATATTTATAGCTGTAACAAAGTGGTAATATTTTGATTAAAACACTAGAAATGCTTTAATAATTACTGGTATTGTTATTAATCACTCCGATAAGCATTAAATGCTTGCGTTAGAGATGGTTCACGATATAAGTAGAATGGAGAGTTAAACTAATTTAAGTTAGCAGTCCTTACCTACTATCATTACCTTACCTACTACCCGCAGAACTGCTGTTGCTTTTAATTGTTTCCAAAATCACCATACTGAGTTTAGGTATGGATTAGTCATGCGCTGCACGGTGTAGGGAAGCATTATAATGAAATTTCTACCAAGTTAAAAATATATTTAAATTATTAAGCTAAATTATTTTTAAAGCTCCAATTTTTGATTGGTTTTTTAATTCTTGAGCATGCAAGTACAAGTGATATCAGCATGTTGATCAAAATTGTAGTCTAATTTTTTGAATCTCTTTGTGAATTTTTATTAATCATTATCCGTTAATACGTTGATGGACAGTAACGCCTATATATACGTTGTTACGTTGTACTATATAACGTATATAATATACGTTGCGGTAAAGTTTGTGATATGACAGAACGTCTGTCGACGTTCGAGTTTTAGCCCTTATAATATCAGTACGCCTTACGACATTCCAGATTCCTTCAAAATGTATGAAGCGGGATTTTGTACTGTCATTGTACAAGCAATTTTTATATTTGTACTGTCACATCGTCAAGTTTTACACACCTTCGAAAAAAGTCCGGCACTTACACAACGATGATTTTGTATTACCCCGCGCAAGCACAGTATACCCCTCGACGTCATATTTACATACATTCAGTGGAGTAGTGCGCTACACTTGCAACCAAATATTTCGCAAAGGTAAGCCACGTGTAATTTTATATGTTTTAATATGTTTATTAGTATAATAAGTAATACGATTTGTTGAGCTTTCTAAGTTAGACTTTTGGAAAAAACACATATGTTTGGGTTTTATTTCGTTTGTAAATAAAATGATTTACTTTTCAGATGGATCCCTTTGAGGAAAATCAAAGACGGTAATAGAAATTAATTGGTGGTGCGTCCACTCCTGATTCCTCTAAATAACCGTTTGCGAATGATGGAGCATATGGATCAGATAAGGATTACCGATCTTCTGGAAGTGAATCTTCGAGCTCTGAAGACCCAGTTGGAAGTTCGCAAACAAGACGCGTGCAAGAGACAGTGGCGGATTATATCTCGGGTAAATCTTCTGATTCTTCGGGTGATGATGATGATGAAACTACATGTTCTTTCTTAGAATGTCATCAAAATACTGATGATGTACAGAATCATGTCGACAACGACGACAGAACTTCATGTTATTCAGTAGAACGTCAAGAAAATATATATGATGAACAAATAGCTGCGCCTTCAAATAATGAAATGTTTGCAACCGAGTCCCAGAGCGTCTCTTATAAGCCGAACTTTGAGCATCTTATCAATCGATCTATTTCACATATTATAGAAGAGTCATGGTCTACATCAGTTACTGAAATACCTGAATTCGATTATGCCCTGAATGTGGTTCGACTTTGAATATTGAAGTCCCTCCCTCCCCCAAGGTATGCCACAAAGCACGGTCCTGAGCCACTTGCATCCAACGACTTCCTGCATGTATTACCAGGTCGTCTCTCCATCTAGTGGGGGGTCGCCCTAAACTTCGCCTGCCGGTACGAGGCTGCCACTCGAGAACCTTTTTCCCCCAACGGTTGTCGGTTCTTCGAGCTATATGGACGGCCCATTGCCACGTCAGCTTACTAATCAGTTGGGCTATGTCGGTCACTCTGGTTCTACTGCGGATATCCTCATTTCTAAGTTTATCATGCAGATAAACTCCGAGTATAACCCTATCCATAGCTCGCAGAGCGACTTTGAGCGTCCTCATACGGCCAGCAAAGAAGGACCACGTCTCGGTTCCGTAGGTCATCACTGGCAACACGCACTTATATATATATATATAGACGGCCCCAACTATTACATCAGATTTGATAGACCATAAATCCTCGCGAAAGAGTACCGATTCCTACCAAGGATGATACGCGAGGCTATTGAAATTAAAAAACATCCTAATTTCAATAGAGTAGTAGGCCACCTGCTTGGGATCCTATAATCAATAAAATTAAAACTAAACCCAAGCATACCACTGCAAGACCTCAGTACATAATCAGTTCATTTTGCATAGATCGGACCATAAACAATAATTAAAAACGAAACGTCGGGAATTAAAAATAATAGTATAATAAACGCGATAAAATCCGTAAAAATAGTTTTAATCAATGGTTGGGTTCTATAAATATAAGTTCAAAAATACATAAATAAATAAAAGCCCAACCAGATGGAAGCCCTCGGCAGGGGAGACCAAACGGCCGAGGGTTAGGAGGAAAGGGAAAGAAACCGGCGGACGATGCGGGCGGTATCGAGGAGCACCGCCTTCTGCATTTGAGCCCGGAGTGGTCCGTCACGGAGCCCCAGTCGCCTCAGATGACCCGAGAGGCTGACTGGGATTAGCCCATTCGCAGAGACGACTACAGGAATAATTTCGGCCGGCATACCACCCTACATGTCGGTCACCTCGTGAGCCAGGTCCAGATATTTTGTTCGCTTATCTGTTTCGGCTTTCACGAGGTTCTCGTCATACGGAATGGTAATGTCGACCAAAAATATCCTTGACTGTGCCCGGTCCATCAGCACAATATCAGGCTTATTCGCAAGAATAGTCCTGTCCGTGATGATGGCCCGGTCCCAGTAGAGCCTGGCGCGGTCATTTTCGAGCACGGCTTCCGGTAAGTACTTGTAATACGGCAATTTCCGGTCCACGAGACCGTATTTCAGAGCGAGCTCCTGGTGTAGAATTCTGGCTACTAGGTTGTGCCTGTGCAAGTACTCAGAGTTAGCAAGCGCCGAACAACCAGAGATGACATGCCTAGGTGACTCCCCGGGATGGCAACAAGTTTGGCAGACGTCGACGGTGCCATCCTTTAGGATGCATCTCCGATAGTTGTTGGTCTTAATAACCCAATCCTGTATTGCACAGACAAAACCCTCGGTTTCCCCGAAGAGGTCACCGAATCGTAGCCAGTTGAGGGAGGCGGCTGTATCTACGTGGGGCTCATGTAGAGACCTGTAGTACCTCCCTTCTATACGGTCTTCTATACGGTTCTCCTTCTATACGGTCTCCCGGTCGGAAATGATCTGCACTGCCGGGTCCTGCCATTGCTCGTTGGCTAAGGTTAGAGGGGTATTTTATAATATTGCGTGAATTTAGCTGAGTTCTTAATATTTGGTTTATTCTAATTTTAAATTTTTAGTTAAGTCTATTTTTGCTTGTTTTTGATCTGTTAGGACTGATGGAACCCTAAGTATTTATATGTGTATTGATCATATATGTATTGTTTATTGATTTTCCGCGAATGATAGAATGTACTTTGCATTTATCAACACCAAAATGCATTTTTATATCTGTAGAAAATGACTATGTTAAGTCTGCTAGTTTTGTAAGTCCTGTGTTGTTGGTTGCATAAATTTTTATGTCGTCCTTGTACAGTAAATGTGACAGAATGTGATACGAGTTATTATATTTTAATTTAAAATCTACATTAGTATTATTGAGTAATTCTGATAGCGGGTTGAGGGCTAGACAAAATCATAACGAACTAAGAGCGTCCCCTTGAAATAAACCTCTTGGTATTTTTATTGATTAAGTACCTAAGGAACTGTTATTTATTAATTTTAGTTTCGTTTTCCAATGAAGCACGGCTACATTTAAAAATGAAATCAGACTGGTATGAATTTTGTAATATTTTAGTACATAAATTAACCAGCTATGAGGGACAGAATCAAATGCCTTTTTGTAATCAATGTACATATATATATATATATATATATATATATATATATATATATATATATATATATATATATATATTCATGCTTGTTTCATGGCTATTGCATCTATTATCAGCTGTTCTTTACATACCTGGCTATTTTTCTTACAGCCCTTTTGTTGTTCTGCAAGAATATTTTGTGTGTCAAGGTGTCTGCAGATTGTTTCGCTAATGCATCTTGTATAGCTAAGGCATGTTATAGGTCTGTAATTTGCGGGGTCTTTTGTATCTGAGCCTTTCGGAATCATGTAAGTTATTATGAATGTTAGCATATTATATGGTGAATGTATGAATTGACAAATATGATTGTGGATAAATGGATGTGTACATGTGAGCTTTTTGTACCAGTAATTATATAATGACATATATTATCGGTACCCGGTGCTTTCCAATTTTGTGTGCGTTCGATTATTTGAATGAATGTTTCTACTGTGATGTTTTCAAAATCCATTTGTTTAATATTTGGTGTGTTTGCTATTTTGTCTAACCACTCAGCCTTACTATTATGAGCTACTGGGTTTTCCCATAGGCCTGCCCAAAATTGTAGTAAGTGTTGTGGTGATGGGAATTGAGCAGAACGTGTAGTATTAATATGGTGTTCGTGCCCTAAAGTTTTGTAGAACTGTTTTTCATTATTTAAAAAGTAAACAACAAAATGTAATTTGTTGTTTACGTTTAGTACATGTTAAATATCTTCTCAATCTATTTGATAGCGCGTTTAATTTTTGCTTGAGTGTATCGAGAAAATGTTGTGGCTCTCTGTTAGATTCTTCATGATGAGATTGTAATTTATATTTTCTCTTTATTTCTTCTACAGTATTTAATATTCTCTGATTTCTATTTCCTAGTATGTATTGTGTTAATCTTCCGATTTCTAATCTATATTTTACTATTCTGCTTTCAATTCTTCTTTGCCAGATAGGTTTTGTATTTCGATTGTTTGCAGTTATATTTCCCTCTGTGTTAAATCTGGTACCATTACATAAGGCGGCTGTATAAGCTGCTAAATATATTAAGGTATGTAATGAAATAAAATCTAAATCATGATTAAGATGCCTGGGTAAAATTTCATAATTCAAGTAGTGAACAATCTGAGCAAATTTTCGTGAATATTTCTGCTTTGGGATGTATGGTCTTGATTCAGCATCAGTTGTGCTAAATATTGCAATAACATTATTAAATTCTATTTCAATTTTGTTACTTTCCATGGGATTTAGTAATTGGGAGTTTTCCTTTTGAGCATTACTTAATGTACATGTTTCTATGACAGTATTTATGCTATCTATCACGTTTTCAAGTTGAGTATGTTGTGTGGGTGTAAAAATGCCTTTTGTGCTTTCATACTAGGTTTGTTGCGTTTGTTCTACTACGGTATAGTTTTGATCTGTAACTAGTTGTCGATTATTCAGCTCCAATTTCAATTCTACTTCTCTTCTCAATTTGTGAATTTTATTTGAGTATTTCTTATTTTTAAATATTAATCTTCTTTGGTCGGCAATCCTCTGTTCAGTAAGGTAAGATAAATATGAATGTCTTTCTATGAACAGCTCATACAATTTTTTTCTGGTAGCCAGTTTGATATTTCTCCAACTCAGTTACTTCAAGATAAAACCTAATGATATTGTTACGAGCTTGAGGTTCGTGACAATAAAAATTGCCGATAAAATTACCTAAATTAACACTTTAATTTACTTTACACAAATTAAAGTTAAAAACACTAATAATTAAACACAATAATTCACTTTATTCCGCTCCGAAGCTTCGCTTGTTTCGCCAAATCAACACTACCTCGATCGCATCTTGCAGCGCCTACTTATATAAATTAGCAAAATATCCAGAATGTTCAAGTAAACACGCGCAAGGTACCGAGAGTTCGAGTTTTAAACTTCAAGAAGTTTAGTTCTTCAGTTCGAGACTAGATGGCGCTAGTGCGCCGATTTGAGGCATTGGAGCGCGTAACAGCGCGTAACACTGCCCCCTCCTAAGACATGCTCGTCCCGAGCATTATCGGTCCCATAATAACGCGCTAGGCGATCCACATGGACGATCTTAGGAGTCCCCTTTGCGCCTTTCTGTAACGGCTCCGCAATGTCAAAGGCTGTCCTATCCCGTGGTGCACCAACATTGTACAATTTCGATGCTCCTCTACTCCGTGTCCGAGGTCCCCTCACAGCCGCACAACTTGTACATGTACGACACCAATCCTCAACATCGTCACGATAATGGACCCAGTAAAACTGTTCTCGAACCTTCAGTAGAGTTCGTTTAACTCCCAGATGGACTCTTGAACGACCATTATGGCACAGCTGTAGAACATTCGGCACTTTAGCTTTAGGGACAACCATTTGCAAACGACGGCTGTCTCCTCGACCATTGTCCCATTTACGGCACAGGACTCCATCCTGAAGCAGCAAGCTGTCCCATTGGGCCCAATAGCTTTTCGTGGTTGAACTCATCGCTGAGACGTCCTTCCACTTAGGCTTGGTAGCACGGGCCTTCATCCATCCCAGAATCGGCTTGATGTCCGGATCTTCCTGCTGTGCATGTCGTAGGCTGTCCTTCCACCCGTTGCTGAGGTGGTCTGTTTTGAGCATCCTCACGGATACCACTTCCTTTCCTTGCCTACTACAATGGTTGCCATCTTCAGGACAA